CTGATTGATATCAATTTAGATGGAATCTGACGTAAGCTCTTTTAACAAAATAACAATAAAATCAAAGATAGAGAGAAATCATCTTCGCTCTTTTTTATAAATAGTTTTCTCTTACAATAATTTGTGTGGATCCTCTGAAATAAATACAACTTTTTGACGGCGAACGCATCACGACGATTAGTCACAATTATGTAATACCACTATATCCGTTTTATTTGTAGATTCAACAATTTTTAAAAGACATGAAGGAACATTCGGCAGCCCAGCGAATGGAGAGAGATAAGGATTTGCCGCAGCGATCACAAAGCAGCGCGGCTAGTCTGACGTCTATAGGTGCCGATATATCTCCCAGTTCTTCCCAATTTTTCGAGGTAATTATCTTCTTTTTCTTTTCTTATAACGAAAAATATAAATGTTTATCATTACACATCGGATCTTTAGTACACGATGACATTCCATGCAACAAAAGTTTATTTGAGACTAAATTAGAAAAGTTTTATATATCTTATATTTTGGATTTTTTTCAGGTATTCTACGTTGGCAAAATTAAAGTATCACATCCAAAAGTACCGGAATCTTTCATTGATGATGCTTTAATAAAGTTTCGCCTTCATGGACTCGAAAAATCCAGGTCTTCGACGAGCAATATTCTGTCAGATTGTCAACGGTTGAAACGCCAAGCTTTGATGTCTTCCATTAATAGAAGAAATAGTACGGTAAGAATTATCTTCTCAGTTATTATGTAATTTAAACATTTCTCTGTAATACATATTGAATTAGAATTTATATGTGTTATAACTATAAATATTTGAATGTTAAGTTTTTAATATTAGTCTTTTTTAATCACAAATAATTAAGAAATATTTCTTACATACCTCATACATAGTAAATACAAACGAATTAATTTGACTCGATCTTTGTCAAGTAAATTATGGTAATATACCGTTACGTTTTCAGGAATCTACCGCTAGTGAATCAGGCAGTATCGAGAACATGTCGGGAAACAATATAAGTCCAAACGTGAATCCGTTTGGAGTTCCGCCAGTTTTAAGCAGCTCCGTGGAAACTTTTCCAAAAACAACCGCCAATACCGTAGAAAATGACGGTCGTGATGGAAATCAAATGTCCGAATCTTCCCCTAATTCTAATATCACTGTACCTGAAGTTATGCGCAGCCGCGCTGCGTCTACCGGCAGCGTTTTAAGCGGCAGGAGAGATTCCGCCGTTAAAGAAAACGATGATCATAATCGTACTATGCTTTTTCAAGTATGAAATATAAAAGAAGTCTTTGTTTTATTGTTTTTTGCTTTTATATTTATTGTTTTTATTGCTTTTGTTAATTATTTTGTGAATATTAAAAGCTACTTATAGAAAAAATTGCTTATAGAAAAGAAAAAAATACATTTTGGATTGATTTTTGTGTAAGTTTTGTAGTATGTAAATTTTATATTTTAGGTAGGGCGGTTTGATTTGAGATTAATTAGTCCGGACAGAAAGCAGGTCCTTTTGCACAAACAATTAAAAGATATAGCCAGTTGTGCGCAAGGTATGAAAAATCCGGATCATTTTGGATTTATATGCAAAGAACCAGAATGCTTCATCGGATACGTCTTCAAATGTCAATCCGGATCAGTCGCAGATGATCTTGTTGCAGGCAAGGTTTTTTCAATTTTTCTATAATATAATAAAATACATGAACTATTATTCTTATTTTCAAAATTTGAAAATGATTTTTCATGCCGATAATAATTTCTATAGTTCTTTAATTTTTTTTTGCAGCAATTAGTCAAGCTTTTGTCACAACTTGCAACATCACGAGAAAAGAAAAGTATTCTGTATTTTCTTGCGATCATTGCCCTATGTATTGGTACAATAAACTATGTCAAGAGATCGAAGGTAAAACATTTATATCGTTTACATTCTAGAGAATTATTTAATTGTATACTTGATTTTATACACGAGGCATTTTTAGGACAAAATGATAAAAAAGTGCAAAGCATTATCTTATCGCGTATGGAATTATTACCGGAGGATGAGCAGGAGATTGTTGTGAGCAAATATAAGAGCGCCGAAGCTGCAGGTAACATTGGTACAAGCTCCACGAGTCAAAATCAATTCCTAATGCGACTGTTGCGTGCGCATTGCGAATTAAAACAAGCTAGACATGTACACGATACGGCTGAGAACAGGTAATGCATCGTCAACTATATATATAAATATATGAACCTTCTATTGATATATTACAAATGTAAACGAAAATGTCTTTTACGAATGAGAGATATTTCAGTATAAAATGTTTTACATTACAGGAGTGAATTTCTCAATCAATATCTAGGCGTCGGCGTTGGTAGCACAATATTTATGAAGGCGAAACGTTCTCTTACGAATAGCTTTGACAATCTTATGAAGAGAAAAGGTTCACGTGACGATTTTGGTCTGGGACCACGGGATTCGTATCATCTGAATGCGGGGATACAAAAAAATGGTAGTCAAAGTCCAGATAACTCGAGGCAATCATCTCTATTGGACATCTCGCCAGAATCGAGTAGACCGAGATCATTGCGCGTCTCGCCTGAACAGCAAATAGTTATAAATAACGGACCAAAGAGTTCTATGATGGACATGTCAGTACAGTTTTATTGTATTCCCAATTTCTCGTTAACAGTTTCTAATTGTATCACTAACTGTTATGTTTATTATATTTCTTACAGCTTTTTAAAAGTTGGTAACTCACCGAAAACATCTCCTACGGAGACCGACGGAAACAACACATTACAAGCCAATAGTTCGTGGCGACAAACGATACTAAACAGAGTCGTGACGCCAAGTAAAGATCACAACGCCACAGAAATTGAAAAAGTTAATATCATCAAAAGTTTAGAAACGCCCATTAAACGTAAAACGAAACAAGAATTGCGAGACTTGTGGAAGAAAGCGATTAATCAACAACTAATACTCATAAGAATGGAAAAAGAGAACGCAAAGCTTAAAGGTAAAATTCTATATATAATATGATATCTTACATTATCTCAATTTTCTGTTGAAATTTCAGAACGTCAAGAAGAAGCAACGGTAAAAAGAATTAAACTGGAATATGACGAGCTCAGTAGCTGTGCACGTGAAGTGGTAGAAGTTTGGGATCTTCTTGTTAGCAAGGAATCGCGAGTCTCTACTAAATGTGATAATCAAATGCTTTTACACGCTATCAAACAAGGTTTGATAAAACTAGAAATACGATATATGTTTCAATAATTAAATATAAAATATTTTTAAAGTTTAAAAATAAATTGTTTAAATTGTTTTTTAATTTTTACTATATATAATAAATTCTTTTAAAGGTGTACCGAAAGGGAAGCGAGGTGAGGTTTGGCAATTTCTAGCCGAACAATTCTGCTTAAAACAACCGCCTATAGATACTCAAGATTTTCCAAATTATAATACACCCTATGAATTGCTCTTGAAGCAACTCACATCTCAGCAGCATGCCATTCTTATTGATCTGGGGAGAACGTTCCCGAGTCATCCGTATTTTAGCTCACCCTTGGGACCCGGTCAATTAGCGCTCTTCAATTTATTGAAAGCTTATTCCCTGTTAGATCACGAAGTCGGTTATTGCCAAGGTCTCAGTTTCGTCGCCGGGGTACTTCTATTGCATGTGAGTGCGATTTTAATTTACATTATTCAATTTTATAGTAATTTTGTATTTATTTTACAATAATTAGTTTTTTATACAACATGCAAAATATCATGTTTTAAACTTATTAGATGGCAGAGGATCAAGCCTTTTTCTTATTACGACATTTGATGTTTCGTCGAGGACTTAGGAAATTGTATTTGCCAGATATGGCAGCATTGCAATTGCACTTGTATCAGCTCTCAAGACTGTTACATGACCGCTTACCAGCAATTTACAATCATTTTGACAAACATGAAGTTTCACCTACATTATATGCTGCTCCGTGGTTGTTAACCTTGTTTGCTAGCCAATTTCCTTTAGGTTTTGTGACTAGAGTTTTTGGTAAGAATGATATTTTTTTATCTATTTAAATTTAATTTATATTTATTTAATTTATAAAATTGTCTCTCTCTTTCTCTTTCACTTTTGAAATAACAGACACTTTTTTTTTTCGAAGATTTGCTTTTTCTGGAGAACTCTGAAGTCCTTTTCCGTGTATCGGTTGCGCTATTAGAAGAACATCAAGACCAATTGTTATGCTGTGACAGTTTTGAAGAAATTATGGAATATCTCAAGGTATGGAATCAAGTTATATTCTAAAATAAATTTTTATATGGAATTTTTATATGGATGTGTTATCTTTATTATGTTGATTTTAGACACGTGTGCCAGCAGTGGACAAACAAAGCTTGGATCGCATAATGAAACGTGTATTTTATCCTGATTTGGAGATCTCAAAACAATTGAATGAATACAGGGTGGAATACCAAGTGCTTCAAGAAGAAATGATTTCAGTAAAGCCACAAATGGAGAATTTGGAGAAATTTAAATTACAGAACAAGCAACTCACGCAGGAAGTTACACAACTTAGCGAACAACTTGAGGTAATATAAGAAATAACATTTATTATATACACATAGTTGAAAAATGTAATATTTTCTATTCTTAAAATATATGTAATATATCAGTCTCCTGCAGAGTAATAATAACTATATTAGGCATCATTCAACGATTATAGTAGATACATTTTTCATCTTATATCAGATACAACTTCATATTTAATCTAGAATTTATAACCATGAATTTGTCATCTTTGCATTACATTATTTGTTGTATCCTTCAGTTTTCTTTTCTGATATCAATTATTATAATTATTATAATTATATTACAGATTACTATGAGCAACTTGCAAAGGCTCGAAACGGCGCGCTCGATGCAACAAGCGACTATCCATAGATTCGAGTCTCAGAATCGCAGTCTTGAAGTAACAGTAGCCACACTAGGCGCGTTTATTCAGCAATTAGTAGATACACGTGCTGATATCGAAGTACCGGGCGAAGTTCGTCGGATAATTGCGCAACTGGGTATGATGGAGAAACGACGAAACGCAGGCATCAAATCGTATCCTCTAAAAGTTATAGAGGACAACAAATACGGAATGATAAAAAGTAACTCGACTGGTAGAGAGTCTCAAAATCTTTTCAGGAATAATAGCATGGATACATCATATTCCTTAAAATCGACTATGAGCCAACCCAATCTAGCGACAAAATTAGAGAGAGTTTCTTCATTTTTTTCGAATTCGCACAATCATATACAGAAGCAGCGCGCACAGTTAGCGGCTCTCAGAAACGAACACTTGGAACAAACAATGAGAGGCAATAATGATGAGAATGATCCCAAGACAGTAAACATTGATATTCAAATTACGGATACTATGAATCTGGCGAACAATCCGGCATCGCAAAACGAGAACAATTTAAAGATTCCGGCTACCAATTTGGAGAAATCGATATCATTACCGTTGAAACTTAAGTTGAAATCATCAAAGTCTGCGTACGATTTAGGATCCGTAAAGAAGGTTCCCACTAGCAAGCTCGAAATTACAAGCAATGATTCATTAACGAATCTAACAGGAACTGTACATCCACTCGACACTTGTAGCGACGTGAATTTCCGATATGGTGGAACCACGAAACTAAAATGCATCAAACCTATTAGATTATCTAGTCCAAGTTGTCAGGAAGATTTTAGTAACGAAAAACAAACACCTGATCAAAGGACTTCCGATCCTTTAAATAGATAACAATTACTTTCGAATACATCTTCAAAGAGTATTTTATCAAAGAGAATCTTCATAAAAAATATGTATTTAAAACGATATTGGTAAGTAGAGAACATATAATGTGATCGCGTTTCTATATTTGACAACTCTGCGTTTTCGGAGAGAAAAATTTCAAAATAAGTGTATAATTTATTTAATTTGTTTAATTATGAAGAGAAACAATGTTTTTTAATTTATATTGAGATCTGATATTATTTTTTACAATTTATGAGAATTAGCCAAAGTGTATTTGATATTACATTTGGAAATATTGTACGCAGATAAATAGTCGACAGAGAATCCATCGTTTGCAAGTAAATACTTAAAACCATACATAAAAATGCATTAAGAATGCATTCATATCCATAAAATAAGATAAATATCGAAATAAGGTACTAAAGATGATGTGCGTAATCAGTTTCAAATTGCCAAAGAAAGTGCCAAACTTTCTCTGTGTTAGAATAAACATTTTATATATAGAAAAATAAAAACAATTTTAATTACATAGTTATATATACGTATGTGGATATAAATATATTGCATACATACGCGTAGATGCAACTGTGTCATTGAAAAAAATATATATATTTATGAAAGCCATTAATATATGGCTGCTATGCACTGTAAGATTCAAAGAATTATGTAAGTATTACTATTTTTGCACAAAACAAGCCTTGTGATATCAGGGATAGTTAACAGTATATATATGTATACTCGCTCTGTTCTTTATAGTGAAGAAGTTTTACCATCGTTAATACGAAAATAGCGTTAATGACATGTAACATTCATATCAAAAATGTTGTACACTAGCGAACAATGTTAATTAATCAATCCCCATAAAAGATATTTAAAATTGCTAACATTGGACAGATACTTATGAAATAGGGATATATCCATAAACATGATAAAATTATATTTTGTAGTATTCGAGTCTGTAATATTCTATTAATAGATTAATGATTATTATTTGTAACTGTAGATAAGTGTATCAATTTGTGACCAAGTAATAGAAGTATATTCATATCATATGACAAAAATAAAGGTATTCTATATGTTCCATTGTTTACTGCTATCATAAATGTTATTAGAATAGATTATATTTTGTATTAGTATTGACGTGAGCCAAGAAATATTTAATATATAGATTTTTAGATTTTTTTTGTTGACTTGCTAATCTTATTACTTATTACAATGACAGATTACAATAATATCGAATATATAATAAAAATGAGATTGTTTTATGAAGTACACAATGTATAATAATAATAATTAAACAAGCAGCATACAAAGTGATCACTTTCCATCCATGGCAACTCATTGAGCGAGATAACTTGTTAACTATTATCCTTTTTCCTTTTTCTTTCGAGATCTGATATTATTTTTTACAATTTATGAGAATTAGCCAAAGTGTATTTGATATTACATTTGGAAATATTGTACGCAGATAAATAGTCGACAGAGAATCCATCGTTTGCAAGTAAATACTTAAAACCATACATAAAAATGCATTAAGAATGCATTCATATCCATAAAATAAGATAAATATCGAAATAAGGTACTAAAGATGATGTGCGTAATCAGTTTCAAATTGCCAAAGAAAGTGCCAAACTTTCTCTGTGTTAGAATAAACATTTTATATATAGAAAAATAAAAACAATTTTAATTACATAGTTATATATACGTATGTGGATATAAATATATTGCATACATACGCGTAGATGCAACTGTGTCATTGAAAAAAATATATATATTTATGAAAGCCATTAATATATGGCTGCTATGCACTGTAAGATTCAAAGAATTATGTAAGTATTACTATTTTTGCACAAAACAAGCCTTGTGATATCAGGGATAGTTAACAGTATATATATGTATACTCGCTCTGTTCTTTATAGTGAAGAAGTTTTACCATCGTTAATACGAAAATAGCGTTAATGACATGTAACATTCATATCAAAAATGTTGTACACTAGCGAACAATGTTAATTAATCAATCCCCATAAAAGATATTTAAAATTGCTAACATTGGACAGATACTTATGAAATAGGGATATATCCATAAACATGATAAAATTATATTTTGTAGTATTCGAGTCTGTAATATTCTATTAATAGATTAATGATTATTATTTGTAACTGTAGATAAGTGTATCAATTTGTGACCAAGTAATAGAAGTATATTCATATCATATGACAAAAATAAAGGTATTCTATATGTTCCATTGTTTACTGCTATCATAAATGTTATTAGAATAGATTATATTTTGTATTAGTATTGACGTGAGCCAAGAAATATTTAATATATAGATTTTTAGATTTTTTTTGTTGACTTGCTAATCTTATTACTTATTACAATGACAGATTACAATAATATCGAATATATAATAAAAATGAGATTGTTTTATGAAGTACACAATGTATAATAATAATAATTAAACAAGCAGCATACAAAGTGATCACTTTCCATCCATGGCAACTCATTGAGCGAGATAACTTGTTAACTATTATCCTTTTTCCTTTTTCTTTTCACATTTAAATTCTTTCTTGACTATTTTGTAGACATATGCTGTAAAACATATGTATTGATCGAAAAATATATTACTCATATATTTGTGAATATGCTTTATTGTGTAAAGTAATGTCTATAAAATCACTTTCTTTTTCATTGTTATTTTTTTTCAACATTACAGAGCCAAATAAGTTGTGCAAGTTCAAAACTGATCGAATCTGTGAATGAATCATCTGAATATTTGTTTCATTATCATAAACATAATATAATCCACAATTAATGATTAAAAAAGATACAAAGTTTCCTTCTTTCCTTCTTGATTGATAATCCTTGTTATATAAAATTATGTGAACTGAATTTTATTTCCAAAAACTACTATATATATATGTGAGAGATTATATACAATTTTCATTCTTGTTTGCATTTATTCTTCAATGTTTTGTTTTAGCTATGCTAGTCCTGCAAAGAATATTTATTACTTTAGAATTTCCACCAATATGCACCATAATTAAGAAAAGAAAAATTATTTAAAAAAATAAGAATATATATATATATATATTTAGAATACATTTTGACGCACTCTAATCGTTAATTTGTTGTATTACATAAATTTACTGAATATCCTTACGTTTGCATCTGTTTATTGCCACTGAGTACTATATACGGTGATTGAGTTTCCTTTTGTTTTGCTTGCAATAAATTTAGTGTACCTAAAGGCGTATCCGTTGAAGACATTCGCTTCATTAAAACTTCTTGTTCAGCTTTTTTCATTCTTTTCTCCACCTAAAATACATATTGAAGAATTATTATAGCTTTGTAAATATATCGATCTTGATTTAAATGACAAATGCTCTAATCTAATAAGTTTATATATACAATATTCTTTAGCCTTTAGAATTTAATATAAAAAACCTTATTTTTTCCTGGGCCTTTTCCATGAAATTTATGCGACAGATATCGAAAAGCTTCCTTGGCACTCAAAACATGACCGTCATCATCGATATATTCAAGCTTCACATTTGGCTTGAAACTATCCTTCTCCTTAAAATCAGACGTCGGTCCGTTAAAACGATCTCTTCTGCCGAATTTGTCGTCATCCCTGAAACAAAAATAATACATGAACGAGCAAACAGACATTTCAAATTACGAGTTTCTTATCAATTGTTCCATTTTCTTCAAAGACATTGGCTAGAAATGTGATTGTATTCTTCTGTTATTGTTTCACTTAACTAGTTCTTAATGTTACAGAAGCAAGATAAAAATTAAAGCCCTTGAAATGCGGTGTTCTGAAACTTGTGTCCACTACCAGTATCAATAAGTCTTGATTATACAAATGATGCTCATAAGTCCTCAAGATATATTACATTATGCGAACGATTGAACTAAAATAAATAAGTTACTTTACTTACTGAAAGTAACAATTCGATATTCGCGAACGTAATATAAATGAATTTTTTTGATACATAATTTTCAAATATATTAAGTTATTTATTCGACGTTAATTACTATTTTTAATGCATGTTTAGTGTAAATATAAATAAAAGTAATAAATAAATTATATTATACATATATATATTAATAGTATAAAAATATAAAAACGGATATATATTAATGTCCATGCACATAAAAATATAGATATTTTCTTTCCTTTTTTTCTATTTTTTTCTATTTAAAGATTCATTCAAATACTCGAAAATATCAAACAATTTAAGTATTTAATAACTGAGCATAGTTTGTTGTGTAAAATCGTACTTCATACTGGTTTGTATTAAACACATGCAAGCCCTAGTTATGTATAAAACGATCGCAAATGTAATGTATAAAGACAAAAAAGTGAAAACATTTTTTTTCTGAACATCCATCTTGATATTGATAGTTCTGCAATCTAACGTCTGCAAATCTTGATCTTCCCATAGTCCACACGGACTTTCTTGTCTAAAATCTTAGCACGATTTGCAGCAATTGAATCGCATAACATACCTTAACAAATCCTACTCTCTTCTTAGGTCATCTGTTATCGCCTCCGATTAAGCGGTAAACTCTTGTAGTGGTAGCGGATCACCCGTTCCGAGCACCGATATTTCCGGGCTCTATTTAAAACTGTTAACTGACAGTTCAGAAATTCACTAGAGACTTGTCTAACACAATACTTGTGGAAGCGCATTCGACGTAAGAACCATTTCTTACATGTTTCTTTTCCGTAATATATATTTGAAACAGATAAGAAATTATCTTACATCGAATCGCGGTAATATATAATTTACTTACCCATATGTTTTATCCTCTATTGAATAATTCTGAGCTTGTAGATGCGCAAATCGTGACGCCGAAGGCCGATTGCTATCTTCTTTCTGTAAATAACCTTTACTCATAGCTAACTTTAAAGCTCCACCTACTCCGTGTCCAAGTGATGGCTCGGCGTCTAAAATTGCTGCTTCCATAACAACTGGTTCCGAAGTATTTTCATCTATTTATATAGAATTCACGTTAAGAAAAACACATATATACAATTATATATACAAAAGTAAATTTTCACTCTCTCTCTCTCTCTTTCTCTTTCAAAAAATATATCAGTTTTTATATTAATTTATAATGTATTTAATATTAATATGGAACAAAATACCTAAATGTACTGTGTTCCAGGCGCCACGACCATCATCTTCATCTTCATTTACTGGTGGCTCATCTTTAATTCCATCCATTCCAAAGTCCTGCAACATTTTAATCACAAAATGATTATAAAAATACATAAATATGTAAACACAAATAATATGTCATATTTAGCATACCATGAGTTCTTGTCCGTTTTCTTCTCTATTTCCAGCAAGTCCATATGTGGGTATATCACCCAATGTTCTACAGAATTCTGCAGTAGAATTAAGAACAATATTTCCAACCTGATTCTCCTCTGAGTTAAGTATTTCTTGCTTTATTGTTTCGACAGTTTTTTGGATACTAGCTGAATGTCCTTCCTTTAAGCGTTGTGCTTTCTTTAAAGCCAATTGCAACTCCAATTCTTTATCATCTTCTTCCATTTTTATTCCAGTAAGATCTTCTGCAGGGGCTATTAACAATAATTATATAAAAATAAAGATAAAATGTTTGAAAAAAAGCTACTCAAAAAAAAAAGTATCTTTGATTGTGTAATTACCTTCTAGATCGTCGATATCTAAAGCATCATTATCCTTCAAATCTTCTGGTTTCTTCCTTCTTCTACTTCCAAGATCCCTAAGATAGTCATTGTCAACAGGTACCAAATCATCAACCTTAAATTTCTTTTTTGCTCTAATTTTCCGAATCTGGAAACATATATACATAACTTTATATCATAATGCATCACGGAATATTGTTTCTCAAAAAATCAAGCTACAAATACAAAATATACAACTGTATTCTGACAACTGTACTTAATATTTAACGAGTATTACGTATAGAAAAAGAACAATTTTCTACCTTTTTCTTTGGTTTCTTGAACTTTGTAAGTTCTTCTTCGTTATAGTATTCGCTTGCTAATTTCGGTTCTGCCATCTGTAGCGTTTCTAGTTTTTTATTTGCTAAGCGTTGCTTCACTATCTCTGTTTGACGCCGTTTCAATTCTACTGCATTATTAGTACCCAACACAAAATTGTCCTTTTTCTCGCCATCGATTTCCTCGTCATACTTTTCCAAGATTTTATTTTTCGGAAATCCATATTCATCAAAATTTTCATCAGCATATGGATCATATGTAGGTTTTTTAAGTTTATTTAAAACACTACGCTTATAGCGTTCATTATCAATCATATTAACATTTACAAGTGTATCGGCATTTTCATCTAATACCTCTTGATCTTTCAATGTCAAAATTACAGTTTTGCCCTCTTCAAATGTTTCCTACAAAAAGTATTGCTTATTTAAAACTTATTACGAGTAAAAAAAAAAAAAAAAAAAACGCTTTTTATGTTAAAACTCTATTCATGATATAATTAATAATATTATATACTTACAACATTATGTTCGACTTTAAGGCCTTTCAAATTCTTCTCTGTATATGCTGTATTACGTGCAATATGTATTTCCTCCCTAACTAAATTACCAATTCCAAATTCTTCATCCAATTGATCTAACATCTTTGCCTTAAATTAAAATAAAATATTTTTATAAAAAATATATAAACTGACTTCATAAAAACTTTAATTTGTAAAATATATGTGTATAGATATGTGAGTATATATACATATATATATAAAGAACTAACTATATAAGTATTATGAAGAATATTAAGACATTACCCTTTTGTCTGCTTTCTTTTTCTCTTCCTCCAATTGTCTAGATTTGTTGATCCATGTGTGAGTGTCGTCATCAGAATCACGATCACCCAAATTTTTCACCTTTGACAAATTTGCTTCAATCTGTCTCTTCTCCTTTTGAGTACCTATCTTTTCCCTTAATTTCTGTGTTCTTATTTTCTCATTATTATTTGGTGCAGGTTTATGATAAAACTCTCCCAAATCATCTTTGATTTTATTAGAATCATCTTTCGGTGTATTATCAACCTCTAATGGCTTCAATCCTAACTTTGCACGAAGTTTATTAGTTTCCTCAATAGATAATGAAGCTTGCGACGCTCCACCTTTAGCAGGAGATGGACTGCGCTGTTTAGAAATTTCTGGTGGTGGAGGCGTTGAAGGATGCGATAATTTCGATATTTTCGGTGGTGGTGGGGCATTAACAATCTCAACTGAAAACGAGTAAAAGAAAAAGATCTTGTACTCCTATAATACATAATAATGAAGCTTGTATGAACACTCTCTTTGAATCGAATTACATACCATCGCTGTCGTAATCCTTGCGTTCTTTCCTCCTGTGTTTTTTGTGATGTCTGTGCTTCTCTGATTTCTCGCGATCGGGTGTATAGCTTCTAGAACGACTGCGATGACGCTTCTTCTTGGCGTCGCGGGATTTCTCAGTCTTATGACGTTTATTGGAGCCCATATTAACGATTTGCCAGCCGCCGTGGAATTTATCGCCCGTTATTATACGATTATATCACTTCAACTGTTTGTAATATTATATATTCTTATTTTTTAACTCCGAATTGTATCAATATATATATTATATCCGATTCTACGCACGCAAAATCACACTATTGAACTTCGTCAATGTGATGTTTCCGCCATATTAAATTACAATTTCTGCGTGTTCCTGTTCCTGAGTTGTGTTCTAAAATTTACTTCTTGAAGTAGAATTGGTCAAGTTGATTGACCAATCAGGACCAAAGAAACTTTTGCTTATGGCTTCTGCACACAGGACGCGGAAATGCTTGCCGCGCGGCAAAAGATGACGCGGTAGCCAATCAACTTACAACTTTTCCATTAGAGCGAAAAATTCCATGAAAGTGATAAAGATGCAAAAACGTTTGAAAGAATCGAAAACACATTCGGGAGTGTCGAAAACATTGCGATCGTAAATTTTCGCTTACAGTTTATTACAAAAAATTAATAATTTGATTATTATAGTAAAAAATATAATAAACATCTTATTCATATATTTTATAAATAATTACATTTATATATATAATTATGTATAATTTCTAATTGTTAATATGAACATGCTACATATATTTATATAGTGTATATATACATACACACGCACGCAAAAACATTATTTTGACTATTTATCATTCATACATTTTTCATATGTAATTTGGCACATATATTATTTCGTTTGGCTTCTGCAATATTTTTATCATTGTATTCAATTTTTTCTTCTTGCAGTTCTGTTTCTTCTATATCTAGAACAGTCATTTGCCCGTGTAATTGGAATTCATCCTTTTTTAGCAAACAAATATTGTGTAGTACACAACACGCCAATATATGATCATATGTAAAATCCATACGACTTATTGCCAGAACGTGTAATAGACTTTTCCAGCGTCCTTTTAGAAGGGCAAACGCTCGTTTGATCATCATTTTACCAGAAGAGTGGCATAAGTTATAATTCCTTTGTTGTTTTGTAAGGTTTTCGTTATCAGGATATGGAACCATAAGATGCTGTTGCAGTCCATAAATAGCATTTCCAATTAAATGTGTGTTATTTGGAAATTTGTTTGAATCACTAATATATTCTTGAAGATCGGATAAGCGGGAAGTACAAGTATCATGATCCGAATGTACATTTCCCACATAAACATGTGTGAACAACTTTGTGTGATCGCAAACAGCCTATAAAGAATGTAATACAAATTATGCTTTGTTCATTATTCATAAATAATTATTCTTCACAATAAATATTAAATTAATAGTTACAATTTATATAATAAATAATACAAATAATCATGTTATGAAAGTATTAATATATTACTTGAAGCTGAATTGAATAATGGTTCTTCTGATTCACACAGGTCTCTGAATTGTTTTTGGATGAAGGAATATTGATGTGGGTACCACCTATGGCGCCAATGGTATCAGGAAAACCACTTGCACTAAAAAAGCCATATACAATATCCTGTATTTTATCTTCTGTCGGCCATACAATATATTTGTATGAAAGCTCATGTAATGCTCTGGCAACACGACGCACAGATCTTACAGCTGTGCCTTTGCCCACATTAAATCGTTGATTTATAGCACTAAAAAAATGAAATATTATTTCATATATAACTATGTTAAGATTTTGCATTATTTACGGTGATCTAGATAATTGCAATATTTGCCTATATGAATCTGTAGTTGCAAAACGCCACAGACTCAATAGAAGCTGCTTATCCGCAGGCACCATTTCATTTCCATCAGTACTGCGAGTTAGTTTTTCTCCAATTTCATCCAGAATAAATTCAAATGTCGATGGTAGCATCCTGTCATCAAACAAATACATTTAGAATGACATGAATAAAATAGGATCTCCTCATAAATTTTTAGTTCTTATTCTTATTTAGTTCATACCACAACAAATACAATAACAATAATACGTACTGAAAATGAGATTTGAATTGTGTACTGCTAAGTGATGGAATTATGTGTTCCACATAATCTTCAGCTTCAGGAATCCGTCGACAATCTCTTGTTATAGAAACAGTATCCGTAATTCCTAGTAAATCTTCTTCCATAATTAATTGTAGAGTGCTCGCATTTTCATCTTCATAAATGTAAGAAGCTGGTTCAAGGAAAGTCCTTACAACGCACATTAATGCAACATCCACTTCCATGTTCAAAAAAATATAATCTTGTCGTTGGTATGTAACATAAAAAGAAAGAGAATCTCTTTATTTTGAACAGTTCTGAAATCATCAAAATACCCAAGAATATATATATATACATACACATATATTTTATTATTGAAAACTTATTGCATCTATATATTTACCACTATTGATTCTGGGAAGAATTGTTATCACCCAATAGAAAATGGAAAAAATTATATCATATTCTGCTAATCTGACATTTATAATGGATCAAACAGCTGTCAAACTAATCGTCTGCGATGAAGAGAAGATTTACGATAAGAGGTAAGGGGACCACCAATCACAAGTATATAGCCGAATCGAACCAACTCGAAAGGAACCGAAGAAGATCGCATTCCGATGCATCCTATGCTGTGTTCCGATTCCCCACCCGGGTGCACCCGATATTATAGGCAGTGTTCCGATATTCACTGTCAGTACTAAAAATCTATAGTGTATGTGACGTAAACTATAGATGTCCAGTACTGACAGTGAATATCGGAACACGGCCAGTACATGTCACGTATACTATAATATCGGGTGCACCCGGGTGGGGAATCGGAACACAGCCCTGCTTGCGTTTAAGCGGTGTCTACAATAAGAATTTAAGCCTTAAGCCGTAAGAAATTATAACCAATCATATTCGATTATTCTTCTCACATTCAACTGTGATTGATCAATTCCTTACGGCTTAAGGCTTACTACACCTATTGTAGACACCGCTTTATCTTTGGCTGTGTTCCGATTCCTCACCCGGGTGCACCCGATATTATAGGGTGCGTTCCATAGACATAGTATATCTAGACCGAGTGTTGAGGAGTGGGGGCCGATGCCCACGTAGAAAAGGACATACTCTGTTTCGTGCCCCTTGCGTTCTCTCTCGCTCGCGCGTAGCATGACGAAAGAGAGCGCTATGCTTTATGCGAGCGAGAGAGAACGCAAGGGGCATGAAACAGAGTATGTCCTTTTCTATGTGCATCTTTACCCCCACTCCTTAAATAAAGGCAAACGCTCGGTCTAGATATACTATGGCCGGTATTCATAGTCCGTTCTTATATTCAAGATCGTCTTAAGTACGATCTTAAGATACTATGCGGCCATTTCATTGGTTGAATGGGATCTTAAGACGACCCAAGACCACACTTAAGACGATCTTGGATATAAGAAAGGACTATGAATACCGGCCATAGTCCGTTCTTATATTCAAGATCGTCTTAAGTACGATCTTAAGATACTATGGCCGGTATTCATAGTCCGTTCTTATATCCAAGATCGTCTTAAGTGTGGTCTTGGGTCGTCTTAAGATCTACATAATACTAATCAATATATAATATTTAATCAAATATGTATTTTAGACAATTAGATTTTTTGTTATTAAAAATCAATTCATTTCATTTAAATATGTGAGCGATTTACTAATTTCTTCGTTAGATGATGTATTTTCTCGCATTTTTACAAATGAATATAAAGTCTGCAAGGTTTGGCTAGTAATATAAGATTTAAAGCGTAGTAGTGTTCAATCAGTTTAATTTCTGATTATATCTGATATAAGCTCAACACAAGATTCAGAATATTAAACTGATTGAATTGAGCACGATAAATATTTGTAAACTGTTTGTTTGAAGCACAAAAAGTAGGAGTTTAATTCTCATATAAATTATATATGTCGAGTTGTATAAATGAAATTTGTAACTATTTCCAAAATTTATTATTTATTTTATTAAGTTAAAAATAAATTTTATTGTTTTCGAAAAAGAAAAGGTTCTTTTAAGAAAAAATTACTTTCGAAACGTTTACGTTACATATATATAACATTATACATATACATTTTAATGTATCCACTGAAATATCTTAAAATCTATAAGTTTAAGACAAAAATGTTTTAGACAAAAGTTGTATGATTCACAGGGGGACACATGATGAAAATATGGACATGATCTTGAGTGACCTTTTCAAGGTGAAGTCAATGTGATCGATATTTTCTTAAATGGAACCCACCATTTTTTATTGCATATTTTTGTAACATATCTCGAGAGCTTTTCAAAACATTATAATAAAGTATTTTTTCATTAAATATTTTTCGAGTTATTTTATATCTTAATCTGACATATTTTGATATAAAAAATAAAATATCTCGTAAAATATTTAGTTTTCGATAATCTTACCATAATATTTTTATGTACAGAATAATGAGACAAATCAATTAGTGTAAAAAAAATAATGACAATAAGTTGCCATTTCCTATCAGAAAATTTAAAAATGTATCCTTTTAAATGTTTTGCATAATACTTTAGCTAATGAAAGATTTGTTTCTATTTTGCAAAATTTTTGTTTTCTTCGGAATTTAAAGATATCTATCATATCGTACATTGAAAGAAAAATGCTTATTTAAGAGTTAAGGGCCAATTTCATCAAGTCCGGTTAGATGAACCGATGGTTAAAATTAGCAGGATGGCCAACAGAAAATAGAGGTGAAGGAAAACCAAGCATTCATATAATTTCAGTTGGAACCCTGCTAATTTTAACCGTCGGTTCATCTAAACGGACTTGGTGAAATTGGCCCGAAATTGGCCCTAAATTTCTCTTGCTCATTGCCCATGTCGGCAGCTGATCTTAGAACATATATAAATGGAAGGGGAATAGCGGGCTGAAAAGTGTCGGAAGGATGTGAGAAAGAAAATGTAGTTGCCTCTCTCTTAGGAGTAACTACACATATAAGTATCGTGTCTGTAGTACACATACTTTTGTGTACACACACATGGCCGTGCATGCACACTTTTGAGCAGAGTTACTCACAAGAGAGAGGCAACTATTATTTTCTTTCTTACTTCCTTCCGACATGTTTTTCTATCGGGAAACAAAGGCAGTCCCCTTCCATTTATATATGTTCTAAGCAGCTGATCAGGCTGATCTTCCATCTATGTATTCTATATGCTATGACATTGGCAAACACTAGTGAATAGATAAAGGAATAAATGGAAATGATGGATACATATATATGATAAATAGAGTTGTCCATTTCTCTCGGATGTTTCAGTAATTATTGTGCATTCGTATCGTAAGTGTTATAAATAATTAGTCACATTATCTGTGAGTCATATAACGGTCACATACGACAGATACACATCCGTCGCGAATTAACGCAGAGAGACTGCAAACCGTTTTTGCGTACATTGTCAAACATATCACAATGGCTACAATTACATGTTTATCCGACGAAGTGATCAGCATCATCCTGGGAAATGTCAATATTAGCATTACGGATGTCATGAGTTTTGCTTCCACATGTAAGCATTTCCACAACATGATCAATGATGACAACATACTTTGGCAAAACAAGCTTTACCAAAGGTACTATTAAAGGTTTTTCTCGTCCTTTCGCGTAATATTTTTTGTAACTTACACTAAAACCGTTGTATAGGTAAAAAAAATTTGTTTATATGCTTCAAATTATTTCAGTTTATTTGACATAGCGCATAATAAATTGTATTTTTCATCTTTCATCGAATATTAGATTTATCTATGTATAAGAGAACCTAATTTCTGTTGTGTTCAAGTAAAAAGAGACTATATTATAGATTAAATTATAAAAATGCAAATGGTGAATATATTGAATAAAATTTTGGTATTAAGTCTCTCATTAAATATGATGACAAACAAGTATATAAATGTTGATATTTTTTATTATCCAGATTGCTTGCACAAGCAAAGGCATTTAATCTTATCGATAAACTTAATCATATAATATAATGATGAGTGCATTTTTATCTCCTTGTTAAATTTTTCTCTCATTATGGCATAATCTTATAACTATAGCAATCATTACATCTCAACATAGCTGGTGTTTCATTTATTGATATTATATTTTGTTTGTTCAGTGACATTAAAAATTTTTGCGTATTAGAAAAGAAAATTTTGATTTTGTACAATTTTTCTAATTTGTTTAAAATATATAATTTTTTCTTATGAAATTTATTGTTGATACAATGTCTCTTTATTCACTCAATATAATATAATATAATATTATATATTTTCAGAGCATTATATAAAATATCAATTTCTTTTGTCTTAATTTTAGATGGCCTGATTTGAAAAAAGTTTATGATAAACGAAAAAGCGAAGAGTATGTAAATTTTGAAAAAGAAGTAAAAGCAAGTTTAAAATGCAGGAAAGAATTATGGTGTTACGTGATGCAAATGTCTGAAATGCATTATTATAAAGACGATCTATCTGATAGTGACATGAAGGATTTTAATTCATTATTCCACCCAGATAAGGGCGCGTATTATATGAATTATTATTTTCTCACAGATGAAATAATGAGTTTCCTTGCAAAATTTCCAAGGTAAAGTTTAATAAATTGTTTAAATATTTTAGACCAAAATTTGAATTTATTACACAATTAATATGCATATTTTTTAGCGACTGTAATTTGACACATAGATATTACATCAAAAAGCTTCTTCGATACCTGCGACAATGCCATCTAAAGGATATATGGAAAAAATTTATAAATTATTCCGATAAACAGCAACTTTTAGAACAGGCAGCTACTATCGTAGCTCAATGGTATCAACCCAGAAAACATGTTTCTTACTCGCGTGTAAAAGCATCATTGGCGGACATTGCACAGCAGGTATTGGAATGTCTTAAAAAGAAAAATCCCGAGCATCCAATTTTTTCGACGTCCGCTGAACAGTTTTCCTCTTGGGAACATAATAATGTTGATGATAATCAATGGGATAGCATAGAAGGAAAACAGATTATAGAAACACTACGAGAAGTTTTATTTGATAAAGTAGGTTTTTCTGGAAATTGGCTTTCTGTGACTCCCGACGTTTTTAATCCACAACATACCCTTATAGATCTTGTAAGTTATAAATTATGATAGCTCTATATTTGTTGTTTTCTAAATATTAGCTTTTATTGTTTATTGTGCTTTCTAATGCATAGGTTTTAGAAAGAAAAATTGGTAATACTGTATCACTGGCAATAATATTCCAAGGTGTGGCAAGAAGACTTGGTATACGTTGTGATCTAATATCTTTCCCGGGTCACTTTTTTTTAAATTGGAAGTCAAAATAGTAAATATAATTTTAGTTTTCTCAAAACATCTCTCACTCTCTTCTCGCTTTTATTTTATATATATTCTTATATTATGTAGTGTATTGTGTGCTTACAGTAATACAACGAATTCTAAAAATGAAGAATGCTTCTATATTGACGTCTTACATCATGGACGTATTCTAAGCAGGAACGACTGTCCCAGAATTCGTGGTGCTAAAAAGTGTCCTATAGAAAATTTCAATACATATAGCAAAGCTAGTCCCGTAGAGGTTGGCAATTACTTATATATATATATATATATATATATATAGACGTAAATTGCCGTTTGCTCTTAGATCCAAGTGAGTTATAAAATACCGTCATTAAAGAGAAGGATCCGTGCTAAATTCCGCCTTACATTTCAAGCCACTGTAGCATCGCCGCGAAGAGATCATTTCGTATGTTTCTTAAACAATTAGAAAGAGTAATAGTAATTGCAAATCTTAGTTTTATTTATATATATCTTTGTTTTAAGGTAATGTTGCGGATGATCAATAATTTGCAAATGGCAAATCGTGATAAAAAGACAGAAACGCGTTCATTATTAGAGCTCCAGCATCTAATAGAACCGGATAATATAGACACGATTGCGCAGTTGGGTCGCTACTATATACTGCATCACATGGATTTATCAGATCTCATGGTTAAATTGACTGAAATACAGGTACATGAATAAATTTACATATAGATGAAAAAGTTTAGATTTCATAAAATTTCTTATTCTTTCAGATTTTTTACAATTTGATAAAATTGACTAATATAATAACGAATGATGTATTTAAAGATTTTTTTTTCTCAAACATTTTTGTATATTGTAAGCATATTTCTACATAAATGTATGTGTGCACGCGCGCGCGCACGCACCAATGGAGTCATTGTAGCAAAAAAAGAAAAATATTTTTAAATAAATCTTGTATTTGTATATATTTGCAGAATAACTATAAGAATATTAGATGTGCAGAATTAAGACGTGCCGAAATGGTATTGGATAAGTTCAGGAAATATACAGAAAGACTTCTGGTAAGATATACTCTGTAATTATGATAATCATATTAATATTAATTTGTGCGCTAAAAAATTGTTCAAAGAATTTTTTTATTAGTATTTTACAAAGGGATATGTAATTTAGGGTTTAATGTTAGGCTATTTGATATTGTTATTTTTATATATGTATATTCTTAAATTCAGTAATGTTTGGCATGAATGTATATTGAACAGATATATTAGCGAAGCAATTTGATTAATGATTTGTATTAATTATAATCACACTAATTATCTATAATCTTTAAGCTAATATAGAAATCAATTCTATTTATTGTGGCATCTTGAAAGCATCTTATATCAAACATGCGAAAGAGATATTAAGTTTTGATATTAATCTGCATTGTTTTTTTCCTAGCCTTGCAATAAAACAATAAGACAGAAAAAAAAGCAAAGAACAAAGGAAATGTTGTTTAGGGTTGGAATGATTGTGAGATGTCATGATAAAGTCACATCTCGCTCCTTGTTAGGTGTAATCATTGGGTGGGACGAGGAATTTAACTCGCGCGTGGAAATGGAATGGAAGCAATGCAGACCTTTATATAATCGTCCTGTTCCTGGATCTAATACTCTATCGCAACCGTTTTACAAAGTTCTTTGTGAAGGAGATAAAGCATATTATGTTGTCGAAGGTATAACCAAATTATTAAAAGCATCTTATATATTTATATATTTTATTGATATATTAGTGTATCACATGTTTGTATATTTCTTTATGATTTCATCTATATAATGTGTAAAAAAGTATACTCTTTTGACTATAGATGCCATAGAGAAGAAATCTTATCCGAGTTGGATGAAACACAAAGAGACTGGCCGATATTTTTGTAAACATGAAAAGGGTTACTATGTACCAAACAAGATGTTAGCAGATCATTATCCATGTGATCTGCGATAATTAAGTCTTGATAACATATATACTAAAATTAATCACTTTTACTTTTAACTTTTTTATCAAGAAAATACCTAGACAAAGACCTTGTAAAATGTGCTGCCTTTTTTTACTGAATGAATAATTATATCAAGTATCAAAATAATTAATCAAATAATGGCAAAAAATGAATAAGTGTGATATTTTATAATTCACTGAACATGATTGATAATGTGAGAGAATTTTCAATTTCATTTAATTTTTGCGCATATTGCAATAAAATTTTATATATGATTTTTTGTACAGAGAGATTTAAGACAAGATGTTTATATTTAATATAGTATTTTGATTCAGTTATACATATAGCAGATATATTAATTACATTGTTAATAATATATATATATATTTATAATTTGTGTTGGAGAAACGACATGGTTTTTTTTTTTATTTTACACTAATATATTTGCAAAGAACACAAAGTTTGCACAAAATATGGCATATAATAATGCAATACAATATTTCTAAAATTAATAGTAGGACTGCACCCATAAACGAAATTCTGTACATTTTACAAGGCAATTTTCTATCTCCATTTTCTTTTTTTTTTTTTTTTTTTTCTTGCTTACATTCTTGCTTTCTTTGACTTTGGATGGAGACCTGTGGTGTGCCTACCTATTTTATACCACCAAAGTTAAGCAAGTATTGCGATGTTTTACAAATATATTCTTTCTTATAATATGATCATGTATAATGACACTCTATGTCCTTTTTTTAGTATAAAACAAAAAGTATATCCCTTTATATCTTATAACATAATTATATATTAGGAGATTGTATTGATTGTGTTAAAGAGGGAACAAAAGTTCTAATCTATAGTTGATAGTTGTAAAATCAAAAATGTATAACATTACAATAAAAGATAAATTTATTTGTATGTATGTATGTGTCTTGTTAGCCTGAAGAAAAAGAAAGAAAAATAAAATTATGTATATATATGTATATATATATATCTATTTAATATATTATATATTGTACGCATCAGAAATAGTTTTTATACAAAATTATATTTCGTTTAAGATAATTTCATTTTTTTTTCTCTATATATAAATCATAGACATATTAAATATAAATAGAGCTTTATCTTACTACGTGTCAAGATAAGTAGGCACATTTTCCTCCCTCGCACATGTATAATTGCCGAGAGAAACGTACGAATGCGCATGCACAAATATTTGAATCACAATTTTCGTAAAGTAAATCTAAAATTAAATTTAAAAAGAACAGGATTTATATTAAATATTTTTAATTAATTAATTTATATAATTTAAACAATATTATGATAAATTTGCTTTACATTTCTGTAAAATCTCTTAATAATATAATATAATATTCTGTGTATTCTTTTTACCAATTTACTTATAAATTTATTATTGCAAAACAAATTAGAAACATAATTGACTTGTGTGTATGTACTTTTCTTTGCTATTACTATTAATTAAGTTGTATATTTATAATACTAGGGATTTATAATAATAAAAATTAAAATATTGTGCAGCATTATTACATTACATTATGTAATTTTCATATTTAGTAACTTAGAAGGAACCTTCGGCAACGCAAAAATTCAAAAAAATCTGAAACTTTGCATAATTATAGAGTAGTAGTCCCTAATAACGAAACGATTTTTTGTTGGTGCTAAAAATCGGTTTCAGGGGTGAATACAACCCTTTAGAAAAAATCAGTTTTTACATTGTTTCAATAATATTTGCTTCGGAATGTAAAAACCGATTTTTTCTATGGGGTTGTTTTCACCTCTGAAACCGATTTTTAGCACCAACAAAAAATAGTTTCGTTATTAGGGTCTACTACTCTATAATTATGCAAAGTTTCAGATTTTTTTGAATTTTTGCGTTGCCGAAGGTTCCTTGTTAGTGTAAAGATCATTATAAAAATGAAGAACAAGAAAAAGTGAAAGTCATCAACAGATCATTTATCAAAGTACGTTTCAAGGTAGATCAGATGTTTTTATTGCATTTATCGTTTAGAGAATAGTGGTGAACGCATATATATATATCCAATACGTGCTCGCATGCACATGCAGTGATCGTGCCACGCAGAAATAAATCTTGCAAACAATCTATTGCGACGGAAAGATTAACTTGGACAGGCATTTCTTTTATAAAAAAGGTAATATTAACAATTGCATAAATATTTTATAAATTTAATATGTACAAGATATTTCAAATGAGTTTGCACGCACATTTTTATAATATAATAGATTATTTGTTAAGCCAATTTTTAAGAAAAATATAACGCAAAAATATTTTTTATCACAAGAGTTTTTATGTTTTAATGTTTAAATACTTTCATTGATCTAAGTTAATCAAGTGAGCTGTAAAATTAAAATTCTATTAAAGTAAAACCGATTTATAAACAAAAATTAAAGAACATTTCTATACATGTACTAATTGTACATTTCTCTTAATCCGCGCAAAAAGAAGAAAATTATAAAAATCAGAAATTATTTTTTCATATTTCTTTTTGTTTCAATAATATTCGCTTCGGAATGTAAAAACTGATTTTTTCTAAAAGGTTGTTTTCACCCCTGAAACCGATTTTTAGCACCAACAACTGCTTTGATTTCTCTAAATTCAAAATGTTTAATATATTAATTTCTTTCTATTCCAATTGGCTCTTCTTTCATGTGTTTTGTAAGAAACTTTTACAATATAAACTTAAATTTTAGTATTTCCACAATTTCCAAGTTCACATTTTTATGATTCTAATCAAATGTTATATCGAACTTTACGATTGTAATCAAATATAATAAAATTGCTTATTTTTATTTGTTTCAGACAAGAACTTACGATGCTACTGGAATTAATTGGGATTTTCATCGTCGCTTTAATAATCATTGTGTATACTTATTATAAGTATGTGTTGTTCGATTTCTGGCGCAAAAGAGATGTTTTTTATGTCGAGCCTGTTGTGCCAACTGGTAATATCGGAGCCTTAGTGACTAAAAAAGTATCAATAGGTGAGTATCTTTTCGCTAGAGTGCACGAAATTTAAACTCAAAATATAAAATACTACACAATTAAAACATAATGACAGGTTTTGTAATCTAAATAGTCGTCAACTTTAACTATTAATATCTCGCTTCATGAGGCAGAGCGACACTTTTATCTGCTATATTCTTTCGTTTTGTGCAAAAACGCGTCGAATGAGCATAATTTTATCGATATTTGAGGTGGGGCCACTAAACTGAATAATTACCCTTTTCTCTTATAGTATTAATAATGCATTGATTTGTTCATGTGTACATAATCCTTTCCTCTCTTTTTCCTCTCTTCTTCATCTATTTGAGATGAGAAATAGCAGAATTGAATAAAAGAATTTTCTTAACAGGCGAATTCTTCCACGATGTCTACGTAAAATATAAGGAGCATCGTGCTTTTGGAATATACACGTTTTTCAAGCCAAATCTGGTAATCGCTGATCCTGATCTTATTCGGGCGGTGCTGACAAAGGAATTCAAAAATTTCCATGATCACGGAATGTTCTGCAACGAGAAGATTGATCCATTGTCCGGTCATTTGTTTTTACTATCCGGGAAGAAGTGGCGAAATTTACGGGTCAAGTTAACACCCACCTTCACTTCAGGAAAAATAAAGCAAATGTTTGCGATTCTGACGACATGCGGCGAAGAGTTCGTAAAAAGCCTAGAAAGCATAGCTCAAACAGGAGATTCCATTGAGATAAAAGATTGGTTTGCAAGGTAAGATTTTTTAGAAAAGAATCCTTGTATATATATAATTTTTTAAATATTGTAATAATTTGTTGAAAATGTATTTGTAGGTATACAACGGATATAATTATGTCAACAGCTTTTGGAGTCAAATCCAATTGCATAAAGGAAGGCTATAATGAATTTCGACATTGGGGAAAAAAGATCCTTGAAACGCATCCATTTTGGACCGCTTTATTTATGTTCACACCCCAAGTTCTAGATTTCTTTTCCATTCCTTTCATTGACCGAGGTGTCACCGAGTTTCTTACGAAAACGTTTCGGGACAATATGGAATATAGGAAAACTCATAACATTGTCAAGCATGATTTTATGAATCTACTCATGCAACTTATGGAGAACGGCTACGTTGAACCCGACGATATGAAAGATGTCGTTGATAAATCCTGTAAATATACTATACATTTGTTTTAAATTAATATTTTTTTTTATTGCGCTCATTTTGTTCTTTAAAATCAATTTTATTTTTAAGATTAATACATATTTCTGATTTTAATTAAATATAGGCGATGGTATGTATATATATGATGATGTAATTGATCGTATAGTAATAATACAAAAATACTTTTAGTGTTTCATTTAGAATATTTCTAAAAGAGAAACATGATTAGAGAGAAAGCTTATAAAATATTTTATTTGTATACAGCAACCATGAATAAGCTCACTTTGTTAGAAGCGGTTGCGCAAGCTTTTGTCTTTTTCGTCGCTGGCTTCGAAACTTCTTCAACGACAGCAACGTTCTGTTTATACGAGTTAGCTCAACAACAAGACTTACAGGACAAACTTCGCAAGGAAATCGATGAAATATTAAAAAAGCATGACGAGCTGACCTATAACGCTGTAAACGAAATGACATATCTTCATAAAGTAGTAAACGGTAAGTTGATTGTTTGTATTATAAAGTCATTGGAACCAACTATTCTTATTAAAGTTTCCCTTATACAAACGAATTAAAAATTCTACTTATAACCGGATTTATACACACATATATACATGTTGATGGATTATATATTTGGGAATGTTATTTTTATACTTTTTTATATATTGTAGAAGCAATGAGGAAATATCCGCCTTTACCTGTTTTGAATCGCGAATGTACCGAGGAAATAGATCTTCCAACAACAAATATTCATGTACCGAAAGGTATGTTAATCACTATACCACTAGTCGGATTACATCGTGATCCGTCGATATACCCCGATCCCGATAGATTTGATCCTGAAAGATTTAACGAGGATGAAGTAGCAGCCAGACATCCTTATGCTTATTTACCATTTGGAGAAGGACCACGAGTCTGTATCGGTGAGGATAAGTAAAATTTCTTTTAAAAAAGAAATTTTATATTTAATTAGTAAATTATTAATTATGTGTTACTGTATATGAATTGATAAATATATTTTCTTTAAAAATTATATTTTTTATAAATTCTTTGTAAGTCTGTAGCAAAAATATGAATTATCTATCGTTATTTTATAAATATATCAGTATTATCCCCATTATCTTATCAATGTATCAGTCTTATCGTCATTATTACTATTAATTTTCAGGTTCGAGATTTGCTTACATGCAAACCAAAGTTGGACTCATAAGTCTTCTATCAAAATTCAAGTTTAAACTTGATCCCCGAACTACGGTTCCGGTAATTTTCGATCAAAATGCCCTTGTACTTACGGCCAAAGGCGGTATGTATCTTACTATCGAACCGCGATAAAAAAGTAATAAGCACTTTTGAATATTTCTGTTTATTTTTCCAAAAAATATCATGTACGTATCATAATTGCAATTTTGCTTTTTGTATTATATATGTATTTGACTCTTGTTATTTGTACTATCAAAGGAAGATATTTGGTGCACGTAGGTAACATTTAACTTTTTATGAGTAATTTTTATGAATTATGTAATATATATCTACAATATTAATTTTTCTTTATTATATACATATATATTATAGGAAAAAGTATCTGTATATATAATAAAAAAGAATTAAAAATATATATAAAAAGAGGTATATATAAAATTTATTTACATCTTATATTTACAGCAATAGCATATGTATATATATCATTAAAAATTGAATACAGAGAGTGGTATTTCTATGTAGTTCTTAGTACGTATTAAAGTATATCAATGTAAATTAGGCCTATGATGATCTTTACACTAAGTTACTTAAGTATAAAAATTACATAATGTAATTTTTATACTTAAGTAACTTAGTGTAAAGATCATCATAGGCCTAATTTACACTGATATACTTTAATACGTACTAAGAACTACATTGGCTAATCATTCCTTTAAAGAATGGAACGGCTATGATTGGACAGTATAGTATTTTAGTACGTATTAAAGTATATCAGTGTAAATTAGGCCATTACAAAAAGAAACGTCTAGTCATCAATAGATCATTTATAAAAATACATTTTAAAGTAGATAATGATATTTTTATCGCATAGTATTTTTAAGAATATTCATGAATGCATATATGTATAGAATATATATGAATGCATATATCCAATAAATACGTGCTCGCGTACACATGCAGTGCTCGTGACACGCAGAAATAAATTTTGCGAACAATCGATTGTGACGGAAGATTAATTTGGACAGGCATTTCTTTTATAAAAAAGGTAATATTGACAATTGCATAAATATTTTACAAATTTAATATATACAAGAAATTTCAAATGAGTTTGCACACACATTTTTATAATATAATAGATCATTTGTTAAGTCAATTTTTAAGAAAAATATGATGCAAAGATATTTTTTATCAAAAGAGTTTTTATGTTTTAATGTTTAAATACTTTCATTGATCTAAGTTTAACAGGCGAATTCTTCCACGATGTCTACGTAAAATATAAGGAGCATCGTGCTTTTGGAATATACACGTTTTTCAAGCCAAATCTGGTAATCGCCGATCCTGATCTTATTCAGGCGGTGCTGACAAAGGAATTCAAAAATTTCCATGATCGCGGAATGTTCTGCAACGAGAAGATTGATCCACTGTCCGGTCATTTGTTTGTACTACCCGGGAAGAAGTGGCGGAATTTGCGCGTCAAGTTAACACCCACCTTCACTTCAGGAAAAATAAAACAAATGTTTGCGATTCTGAAGACATGCGGCGAAGAGTTCGTAAAAAGCCTAGAAAGCATAGCTCAAACAGGAGATTCCATTGAGATAAAAGATTGGTTTGCAAGGTAAGATTTTTTAGAAAAGAATCCTTGTATATATATAATTTTTTAAATATTGTAATAATTTATTGAAAATGTATTTGTAGGTATACAACGGATATAATTATGTCAACAGCTTTTGGAGTCAAATCCAATTGCATAAAGGAAGGCGATAATGAATTTCGATATTGGGGAAAAAAGGTCCTTAAAATGCATCCTTTTTGGATTGCCTTATCTATATTCACACCCCAAGTTCTAGATTTCTTTTCTATCCCTTTCAATGACCGAGGTGCCACCGAGTTTATTACGAAAACGTTTCAGAACAATGCAAAAGAGTTTTTATGTTTTAATGTTTAAATACTTTCATTGATCTAAGTCAATCAAGTAATGCTGTAAAATTAAAATTCTATTAAAGTAAAACCGATTTATAAACAAAAATTAAAGAACATTCTCTATATGTACTAATTGTACATTTCTCTTAATCCGCACAAGAAGGTTCTTTTCTCATGTGTTTTGTAAGAAACTTTTACAATTTAAACAAAAACTAGTATTTCCACAATATTTTACATTTTTATGATTCTAATCAAATGTTATCGAACTTTACGATTATAATCAAATATAATAAAATTGCTTATTTTTATTTGTTTCAAACAAGAACTTACGATGCTCGTGGAATTAATTGGGATTTTCATTGTCGCTTTAATCATTGTGTATACTTATTACAAGTATGTGTTGTTCAATTTCTGGCGCAAAAGAAATGTTTTTTATATCGAGCCTGTTGTGCCAACTGGTAATATCGGAGCCTTAGTAACTAAAAAAATATCAATAGGTAAGCATCTTTTCTCGGTAATTATATATTCAATTTAGCGGCCCTACTTCACATATCGATAAAATAATGCTTATTCGACGCGTTTTTCCACAAAACGAAAGAATATAGCAGAAAAAAGTGTAGCTCTGCCCCGCGAAACGAGATATTTAATAGTTAAAGTTGACGACTATTTAGATTACAAAACCTGTCATTATGTTTTAACTGTATAGTATTTTATATTTTGAGTTTAAATTTCGCTAGAGTGCATGAAATTTAAACTCAAAATATAAAATACTATACAGTTAAAACATAATGACAGGTTTTGTAATCTAAATAGTCGTCAACTTTAACTATTAATATCTCGTTTCGCGGGACAGAGCGACACTTTTTTCTGCTATATTCTTTCGTTTTGTGCAAAAACGCATCGAATGAGCATAATTTTATCGATATTTGAGATGGGGCCGCTAAACTGAATAATTAGCCTTTTCTCTTATAGTATTAATCAGACATTAATTTGTATATGTGTACGTAATCCTTTCCTCTCTTTTTCTTCTCTTCTTCATCTATTTGAGATGAGAAATAGCGGAATTGAATAAAAGAATTTTCTGAACAGGCAAATTCTTCCACGATGTCTATGTAAAATATAAGGAGCATCGTGCTTTTGGAATATACACGTTTTTCAAGCCAAATCTGGTAATCGCCGATCCTGATCTTATTCAGGCGGTGCTGACAAAGGAATTCAAAAATTTCCATGATCGCGGAATGTTCTGCAACGAGAAGATTGATCCACTGTCCGGTCATTTGTTTGTACTACCCGGGAAGAAGTGGCGGAATTTGCGCGTCAAGTTAACACCCACCTTCACTTCAGGAAAAATAAAACAAATGTTTGCGATTCTGAAGACATGCGGCGAAGAGTTCGTAAAAAGCCTAGAAAGCATAGCTCAAACAGGAGATTCCATTGAGATAAAAGATTGGTTTGCAAGGTAAGATTTTTTAGAAAAGAATCCTTGTATATATATAATTTTTTAAATATTGTAATAATTTATTGAAAATGTATTTGTAGGTATACAACGGATATAATTATGTCAACAGCTTTTGGAGTCAAATCCAATTGCATAAAGGAAGGCGATAATGAATTTCGATATTGGGGAAAAAAGGTCCTTAAAATGCATCCTTTTTGGATTGCCTTATCTATATTCACACCCCAAGTTCTAGATTTCTTTTCTATCCCTTTCAATGACCGAGGTGCCACCGAGTTTATTACGAAAACGTTTCAGAACAATGTGGAATATAGGAAAACTCATAACATTGTCAAGCATGATTTTATGAATTTGCTCATACAACTTATGGAGAAGGGCTATGTTGAACCCGATGATATGAAAGATGTCGTTGATAAATCCTGTAAATATATACTATACATTTGTTTTAAATTAATATTTCTTTTTTTATCGCGCTTATCTTGTTCTTCCAAATCAATTTTATTTTTAAAATTAATACATATTTCTGATTTTGATTAAATATAGGTGATGGTATGTATATATGATGATGTAATTGGTCGTATAGTAATAATGTAAAAATACTTTTAGTTCTTCTTTTAGAATATTTCTAAAAAAGAAATGAGATTAGAGAGAAAGACTACAAAATATTTTATTTGTATACAGCAACCATGAATAGGCTCACTTTGTTAGAAGCGGTTGCGCAAGCTTCTGTTTTTTTCATCGCTGGCTTCGAAACTTCTTCGACGACAGCAATGTTCTGTTTATACGAGTTAGCTCAACAACAAGACTTACAGAACAAACTTCGCAAGGAAATCGATGAAATATTAAAAAAGCATGATGAACTGACCTATAATGCTGTAAACGAAATGACATATCTTCATAAAGTAATAAACGGCAAGTTGATTGTTTGTATTATAAAGTCATTGGAACCAACTAATATATATATATCATTAAAAATTGAATATAGAAAGTGATATCTTTTTCTTTTTTATTTGCATCTGCGTAGTGATGCATGCGAAAAATTAACCAATCACGTATCGTATCTAGTATACAAAGAGCATAAACATATGGCATTCTTTACTAAACACGTGATTGGCCAATTTCTTCACTGATTCACGAAGTCTGTTCTTTATAGCTGAACTGGCTGCACTGGTTCAAAGTTTATCTTTTTCTCTCCACATTACAAGAAGAAAGATAAGCGTAACAATGGATTATATATTTGGGAATGTTATTTTTATACTTTTTTATATATTGCAGAGGCAATGAGAAAATATCCGCCTTTACCTATTTTGAGTCGCATCTGTACCGAGGAAATAAATCTTCCAACAACAAATATTTATGTACCAAAAGGTATGTTAATCACTATACCACTACTCGGATTACATCATGATCCGTCGATATACCCAGATCCCGATAAATTTGATCCTGAAAGATTTAACGAGGATGAGGTAGCAGCCAGACATCCTTATGCTTATTTACCATTTGGAGAAGGGCCACGAGGTTGTATCGGTGAGGATAAGTAAAATTTCGTTTAAAAAAGAAATTTTATATTTACCCTATATTAAATAATATCACGCGCTTATAGGGTAATTAGCAAATTATTAATTATGTTACTTGAATCGATAAATATATATTCTCTTTAAAAATTATATTTTTTATAAATTCTTTGTAAATCTGTAGCAAATGTGAATTATCTATCATTATATAATCAATATATCATCGCCATTATCTTATCAATGTATCAGTCTTATAGTCATTATTTATACTATTATTTTTTAGGTTCGAGATTTGCTTACATGCAAACCAAAGTTGGACTCGTAAGTCTTCTATCGAAATTCAAGTTCAAACTTGATACTCGAACTACAGTCCCGCTAATTTCCGAAAATGGCTTTGTACATACGGTCAAAGACGGTATATATCTTACTATCGAGCCGCGATAAAAAAATCATAAGCATTTTTAAATATTTCAGTTTATTTGTTTAAATAATATATATTGTGTATATATCACAATTGCAATTTTGCTTTTTAATAACATATGTTTATTTACATGTTTGTATATATACCTAAATATTTATGTATTTAGATAAATGCAATGTTAAAATTAACAACAATAATATGTTAACCAAATAAAGACATGGGTGTATATAAAGAATAATGGTGTATATAAAATTTATTTACATCTTATATTCTTATATTTGCAGCAGGAACATATATATATATATGAACTGGCTGCACTGGTTCAAAGTTTATCTTTTTCTCTCCACATTACAAGAAGAAAGATAAGCTCAGGGTACCGATCATGTAACTTTTTCCCTAGGGCGGAAACGTAAAAGTGAAAAATATTAGCATTGAAATCAATGGCAAAATTTTTCACTTTTCCGCCCTAGGGGAAAAGAGTACATGATCGATACCCTGACCCTGAACTTGAGCAGCCAGTTCAGCTATAAAGAACAGACCTCTTATCGCATAAAGGTAGATGCTTTTGGAACGTAATTGAGAAATTAAGGTACTTATATCTATCTAGATATATATATCATGACCTAAAGGTTAAATGTAAGCTGTGTATAAATAAATAAGATAAATAAAAAAAATAACAAATTATATATGTTAAAAATTAATCAATATAAATATAATTATAAATGTTTAGTCAATATAGTCATAATATGTGCATAAATATCAGGACACAAGTGTGTATGTCTTAAATATAAATCCATGTAATAAATAATAAGACGTTGAGTGTGTGTAGGTTTTTGAAATGCTATTATAATATTTGATAATATACATTACTGCAGAAGAAAAAAATTAATAAAATAAAAGATCAGAAAAAAGGACGGCAGAAGGAGAAAGAGTGATATAGAAGAGTATCCTAAAAGAGACAAATAACAATAATAAATTAGAAATAGGTGACACTTATGATTTTTTTTGTTCCTCTGTAATTCCATTCATTTTGATGTATGTTTAATTTGAATGAAGTATTGCTAACTTATTTTCTATAATTATATCTCATTAAATGAAAATTTATTTTAGATTTTGAATAATTTCTGATTTCAGTATTATGCATTTGCCTGAATTTTCAAAGCATTTAAGCACTGAAGTTATGGTGAATCTAGAGGAAGATAATGATATTGTGTTGAGTTACCACAATTATGTGGTGAGATCATCGGATGCCGCATTATTGGAGAAAAATGACACATGGCTCAACGACATTGTGATAGGATTTTATTTTGAATATTTGGATCAACAATATAAAAAGGATAATAAGAGACTGTTATTATTTATTGATCCTGGAGTGACTCAGTTATTAAAGATGCAAGCCCCTTTGCAGTATAATATATTTCTTGATCCTATTGAAGCGACAAGTTATGACTTCATATTCTTTCCTTTGAATGACTGCGATGGAAATGAGCCAGGTGGCTCACATTGGAGTTTGTTGATATACTCTCGTAAAGATGAGATGTGTTATCATTACGATTCATCAAATAATATTAACAGATCTATCGCAGAAAAATTTGCTAGGAATGTAATCAAATATTTTCTTAATAAGCAAGAAAGAAGATACATTGAAATGGATTGTCCACAACAAAATAATTGCTTTGATTGTGGTTTATTTGTCTTATGTTTAGCAGATTTAATATCCAAATATATTCTGAAGGGTTTAAAAATAAGCAATTGTGATTATAGTGTAATTACAGAAATGGTCTCAAAAAAGCGTATGGAATTATTAGGATTGATTCAGGATTTAAGAAATATACATGATAATGAATAACATAATTGCTATAAATATTTAAAATATAATTAAGGTGATTATATTTCACTTCTATATAATAAACCTGTTACACTGTTAATCTTATTTATATAATAAATCCTACACAATCTTAATATTTTAATCTTTTTCCATTATCATACTTGACATTTATATATGTGTGCTGTAATTTGACACATTGCCAAATGTTAAAAATGTTATTTATCTATTATATAATATAAAAACAATGTAATTTATTCTTTTATTATGTGTTAGATATATAGTTTATATAGAAAATATAATAGAAACAACTCTATTTTATGGAAGCATATTTATAATATAACAGCACAATATAAAATATAAATATTTTACACATACGAAAATGTTAAGAAATTAAATATTGTATATAAAAGTATTATAGTATTGTATTTTTTAATATTGTGCGTTACAAGCAAAACTTATTTTTATAAACAGCTATAGTATGATGCATGAATCACCATATCACGTGTTATGTCTTTTAGAGATGCGCAGCCTGGAAAAAAACGTTGGGAAAAAAATTTTACTAAATTTAAAAAGAAACAGGGCCACAAATTGAGAGATGATAAAAATTACACTTTGACTTGCCAGTTAATGCGAATGCTAAGTCGATTTCTCTTTTCATAAGTTCAAGAATCGCGCTAGCACCTTTTTCGCCATTGTACGTCAAACCCCATAACATCGGTCGGCCGAAGAATACCTGAGAAGAAAGGATGCAATCAATTGATAATTGTAAAAGATACAAACAAAAAACTTTTGCAGTGATAAAAAAAAATCACATTTGAACGCAGCACGATACTGATTCATAAATAGAACGAAACTGTTCAGATACTTTCGCGCAAATCATTGTATTTGCTATTCCGTAAATTTGTCATACCATTTTTGCGCCCAATGCCAAGGCTTTTAATACGTCGATACCTTGAGTCACTCCGCCGTCCATGTAGACCTCGACTTGATCTCCCACGGCTTTACTTATTTCAGGTAAAGCTTCGATCTGCGAATGTGATTATTTTATTAACTCGCTTCGTGTACTATATTTTTCTTATTTGATTAACAATCTCTTTATAAATTCCTACAATTTTTTCAGCAAGAATTATGAACCGACCGTTGCTGGAACGCTGTCTATTTGACGTGCACCATGATTCGAAACAATAATGCCATCGACTCCATTTTCCACAGCCAAACGTGCATCTTCTGCCGTTAGAATTCCTTTAAGAATTATCGGTAGTGTTGTAGTTCTACAACAAATCGACTAGAATACTATTTATATTTGACCTGCTCAACGCAATTAAATATGAAAATGTAAAGAGATCTAATATGCCAAATATGTCAAGATAAAAAAATTTTCACCAGTAGTCGCATGGATACCTTTTAAGCCATTTCACATCATCCCAGGATAGAGACGCGTCGAATAATGCGGTAACGTATTCATTAAGGCTAGAGCCGGTTTTTGCGGTATTTATTCGTTGTGATAATTCATCTTCGAAATTTGCAAATCTAAAAAAATAATTTGTACACATAAATATTGTATATTTTTTTGTATGTTTATAATAAATTTTATTTAAATCTAAACTAATAGATAATAGAGATTACAATTTCTATTTTAAATATGTGAAGTGTTAAATTGATCTTCTTTGGTCTTTTTATAAATATAAATAAATTAAAAATACAATTTAGCTTTCTTTTAACAAAGTTTTATTGTTAGTATTATTGTTAGTGAGTAAAAAAGATGTAAAAAATAATTTGTTTTTAGAATTCTATGAATATAAAATTTACATCATACATTCATTGCTTTATTTGTACTCTTTAGAGAATTAATAGTAAAATTTATTATATAACTTTTATTACTTATGTATACTTATGTATTTTTGCATTTTTTAGATATTTATACATTTAATTCTCTTTATCTGTAACATCTGAATTAGTACCTCAAGTGACTCGGTAATGCAAATTTATTTTTTATATCGGCACGTCTATCACCGAAGAACGGCGCATCGATGGTGAGAACCAGTGCTTTGAAACCAGCACGTTCGGCACGTCTTATCAAATTCAAGGTAACATTTCTGTCGATATAAATGTAGAGCTGGAACCATTTTATACCATCCGGAGCAGCTTTCGCCACTTCTTCTATGCTACTCGTCGATATCGTCGAAAGAATGAAAATCGTTCCTGCTGTCTGAGCAGCTGCAAATCGATAAAAAAGAGTAATTTAAATATTGGCGTGAGAATAACTTGAATAATCTAACAGATAAAAACTAGATTTATTTATTTTATTTTATTTGTTTGGTATATATGTTGTAGAGAAAAATAACTTTAATTAATTACATAAATTTAGTTTTATTTATTAATAATTTGATTTACTCTCTTTTTTGATAATTTTCGTAACGCTATATCGCATGTCAGTTGTATTTGTACTATTTATGAACTAATTTTAGTATCCCACCGATTTCACCTGTATGATTACATCACGCGAGCAATATGCAACATGCGACCTGTTATTACATGCATTATTCGTAACACCTGTTGGGTGACCTCTTTCTAAAGAATAGCAGCAATTGTATTTTTTTCGCGTATCTATCATTTTTATTGTAAAATCATTGTATTCATACAGACATTCTGTACAGAAAGATCAGAAGTTTAAAAATTCTACATAATTATCAATCAATGTTTATCACTCTTTGTTAAATATTAAAGAATATATATACTGAATTATACTAGAAAATATCTTGGATTAAATGTTCATGAAAAAAGAATGATATTTGCGAATTTTGTTTGCAAAGCAATGATCATTTAATTTCTTTTTTTGATAAGAAATATTTTTTCGTTTAACAAATGTGCCTTAGATATGTGGATAAATTATATATAATAATTTCCTTAAAATTTTTGTTATATTTAGCAGATACTTATATTATCTCGATTGATGCCGATCGACGAAAACCGTTAGGATCGCACGAATGCGCAAAAACGCGCCAAAGGAGAACACGCGCGTGTAGAACCGATGGAGAGAACGAGTTTTTTCCTAGAGCGCATGCGAAATGAGAAATCCTCGGCCGATCTCTAATTAGTATTGTTAGACCAGACAGGTTTTTTTTTATCTATAGGATATAGGTAAAGCATTTATTTCAATTATAAAGGTATCCCATATGAGCCCTGTGCTTGATTGTTTTTGGGAATTAAAAGTTTTTCAACAAACAGTGTAAAATAAAATGACATAAGAAATGTACAAATAAATACAATTACATTTGGTGAAATGTTAAATAATTTCTATAAAATTGACATAAAGAGTAAATTAAAGGAGCCAAAGATAGTAAAAAGTAAGTACTTGATATTCCTTATTGATAAACTTTTAAATAATTTAAAAACAGCCAAGTATAAAGCCCTTTTTTATTATCAGCATCCCACGCGCATGCGTGAAAAAAACCCGCCTGGCCCAACGCACTGTTTCCGATCTCCGTCTCCGATCCGCTGCAGTTTCAGTCATCGCGTGACAGTTGCGCGTGTCGTTTAACTCGTAGTTTGTACGGCTTGTGCGTATCGCGCTAATTCTCTTATCAGGATATATCACATCCGCCGAAACGCCAGAACCGAGAAGGAGTCAACGAAGAATTAGTCGCTGAAATTTTTCGCTCGCCGACCGCAGCGGACAAATGACGTTGTCACGTCGTGGCGAGATCATCCGCCACGTATGCGAGGAGAGGTGAGAAGTCGAGGTTAAGTCCTCGGGAGGCCGGCTCGCGACATGATTCTCTCGCGAAGATGAGACGAAACGTGATCAGCTTAATCAAATTCCTTCTCCTGGCGGTGCTCACGGTGTTCCTGACCATCGTGGTGTTTCGTTACATGCGATCGCCGCCTAACCGTCAGATCTCGACGTCGCTTGACGTACTGGCAGCGGCAGTTGCCATCGGTCCGGGAAACGATCGAGGGAATGACGAACGTCTGAATCAGGTACGGACAGGTGGAATCAAAGTCGTTCGTCAATTTTTCACATTCACCTAGAGACGCTGCGATTGAATATATTTTACGTCATTTCATCTCGCGCGAGTAGATGTAAAACTGATATTTTGTCGTTTAATTTTTTTTTACAAAAAAAGTTATGGCAGAACAGATTTTACGTTAATCGTCGAGTGAAGAATTGAAACTGGTATATAACTTAAATTAGTTTCAATTTATCAGATATGGAGAAAGAAAATAGCTTATCGATAGTTTGTCATTTATCGTGTTTTACATCGACGTTGATAAATGTATATCATTTCACATTAGAAACACATCGATATTATATGCCGATTATAAAATGATTATATAGGATCCTATGTACGTCTCAGAAATCCACTTTCTACAGCAGTTAGCAAACGAGTTTTAGTTGCAATTCTGGTCTCTCTTGCATTCCTAGTGGCCAGGAATGTACCAAGGCTACCAGGCGCCCTAGTCGATTGTTAGCTTTTTCATAGTGATAAAAATTTCATTTTCTGATATCTAACATACTTGTGTCATAAACCACATTGTGTCATTTTTTTAGCCATTGCAATGTTTATAAATATGAAGAAAAAACTGAGAATTATCTTTTGAATTTTTTATCTATATATAAACGCATATTTATATTGTATAAATAGAGAAAATTAGTCTGTGTTACAAAATAACAGCAATATTACTTTATTTGTAATTATTGATTTTACAGGAATTTTACTTTATTTGTAATTACGTTTTACAGGATGACAAAATCGATTGGCATGACTACGAGAAAATTAAGGAGGAGGAGAAGCGAACTGGAATGGGAGAACACGGAAGACCAGCCTTTCTTTCGCCATCCCTTGATACACGGAAGGAAAAGTTGTATCAAGTAAATGGATTCAATGCTGCTCTCAGTGATGAGATCTCAATGAATCGTTCAGTGCCTGATATCCGCCATCCAGATTGTAAGAAGAAGAAATATTTGAAAAACCTAGATCCAGTCTCTGTAATAGTATCTTTTCACAACGAGCACTTCAGCACATTAATGCGAACTTGTTGGAGCGTGATTAATCGCTCGCCACCCTCTCTTCTGGAGGAAATTATATTGGTTGATGATGCCAGCACAAAAGCGGAGTTGAAGAAGAAATTAGACGACTATATCGCGCAGCATTTACCAAAAGTGTCGATCGTACGATTAGCAAAACGTTCGGGATTAATTAGAGGCCGATTGGCGGGCGCGAAAGCTGCTAGAGCAAAGGTTCTCGTATTTCTGGACTCGCACAGCGAAGCTAACGTCAATTGGCTGCCTCCATTGTTAGAGCCCATCGCACAGAATTACAAAACCTGTGTTTGTCCGTTCATCGATGTGATAGCTTACGAGACTTTCGAATACAGGGCGCAAGACGAAGGTGCCCGGGGGGCATTCGATTGGGAGTTGTATTACAAACGACTTCCGCTGCTTCCGGAGGACTTGAAGAGACCCGCAGAACCATTTAAAAGCCCTATAATGGCGGGCGGTCTGTTCGCCATCAGTGCCAAGTTCTTCTGGGAGTTGGGCGGTTACGATCCGGGCTTGGATATATGGGGTGGCGAGCAGTACGAACTATCCTTCAAGATCTGGCAGTGCGGCGGACAAATGTATGACGCGCCGTGCTCCAGGGTCGGCCACATTTATCGCAAGTTTCCACCATTCCCTAATCCCGGTCGTGGCGATTTTCTAGGAAAGAATTACAAGAGGGTCGCCGAGGTGTGGATGGACGAATATGCGGAGTACATCTACAAGAGGCGGCCGCATTTACGGGCGCTGGATCCCGGAGATTTATCGGAGCAGAAGGCTCTGCGCGCGAGATTACACTGTAAACCGTTCAACTGGTTCATCGAGAACATAGCCTTCGATCTCGTGGAGGTTTACCCGCCTATCGAGCCGGACGACTTCGCCTACGGTGAAATTAGAAACATGGGCGCAACCGAGTTATGTTTAGATTCGAAAAAACGGAAGAGAGACGAGCTTGTCGTGGTGGATACTTGTGTGAAGGACGATCCGAAAATGTCGGGTGAGCAAGAATTCCGACTGACATGGCACAAGGATATCAGACCGAAGGATCGCACAGATTGCTTGGATGTGTCCCGGGGCGAGGAGAAAGCGCCTGTGACCTTGTATCCTTGCCACGGGAAACAGGGTAATCAATTGTGGCGCTACGACATCGAAAAGCAGTGGTTGCAGCACGGTTATTCGTCCAGGTGCCTGGACACAGATCCGGGCAGCAAGAGAGTATTCGTGACCGCGTGCGATAAATCGTCGCCCACTCAAAAGTGGCGGTTAGAACAGGTTAACATGAAGGCTATTAATAATTGGGAGAATATAGGACCCAAGCTCAAATGAATTCTCTTTTCCTTTGTACTGCCATTTTCTTAGACAGGTAGGCCGGATTCCTATTCGTACAGAAAGGAACGATCCCTTTACTATTCCTGGTTACTAGTCATCACAAATTTCGATTTGAACAACATATTCCGTTTGTATTGGTGATCAACAACGGACAAAAATCATCGCGCGATCAGAATAATTTTGCACGTAGCGTAAAGCGAGACTTTCGTTCCTTTAGATATATAGACTGGATAGCAAGCGTTTTCATATCGGTGGATGTGTCTATACATATCGCATAAGCGCTCTATCGTGCCTTACATTACATAGCCATATGCAGAAATACAATACGCATCATAATAATCTTAACATTTAAGTTTTGACTTAAAAAAAATTCGCTCAAATTAAAAAATATTACGGTAGACATTATATCTTCTTTCAAAAAAATATTGCTTATTATAAGCAGAACTGATATATTTCGTTTATATTATAGCGTAAGTTATTTAAGCAAAGCTAACAAAGTTTTAGATATAATCTATTGAGAGAAGCTGGAAATTTATATAGAACGAGTTACATAAATTATCACATTATTTTCTCGGAAATTATGAAAGATAACAAAAAAATTTTTTTGTTATATTTATTAAAGTTATCTAAAACTTTCATTTGTATGATATATAGAATACAACCGAGATCTTTAAGGGGAACGGAAAAGGTAAGTCTTCCTTTTCTTTAAATGTTTTAAATTCTCTTCTCGTTAATAAGGAGGGAAGGAAGGGAGGCGGGAGGGAAGCAGTAGCAGCCTATATCATACAAAAGATTCCATTAATTGTAAATAAAACTTTAAAGAGAGAAATTCTTTTTGCTATCTGTAAGTTTTCGAAAAATAGCTTGTAATAATATTTCATGCAACTCACCAGATAATAATCATATAATTCTTTCCATCATACTCTACATATATATATTACATATATTATAGTCTATATGAACAAGTATTATGAATTATTTTTTTATCTAAGTAGTTTATTTCAGCCAGAAAGTATATACGATTGCTTCCCCATTTTTAATGCATTACGAGTAAATTATAGAATAACTTGAAATACGGGATATTTTTTTTTACAATAAAAGAGAGAGATATTGTAATACAACAAACATACATGCATATATATAAAATGTTACTTTTAGTATTTCTTAAAATATATGTTTTAAGTTCCACTTTTTTCTTTTAAATATATCTTCAATTGAGTAGAGAAACTGAATACAATAAAACATAGAAAAGCATGATTATTTATTATTGAATGTTATTCTGCAATATATTCAAAACTGATCAAAATCGAAAATGGGGCATGTATTTGACATTGTAATAGGAATAAATAAGAGCATTTAAAATATATTCAGTTTCTTTACATCATATATATATTTATGTTTGAGCATGAATCTTTGATAAATGTGAAATGATAAATGGATGTTATATAGAAGAGATATCGTTAACTGTCTGTGATCATTGGTATATTTGGGCTAATCTTTCATTATTACGACTATTTTTATAGCATATTTATATATGATTTTAATAAAAAAAGGTTTGTATTAAATCCTTATATATTTTACAACGAATGTAAGTACCAATCTGATGATAAGGAAACAATAAAATTTTAACTCTAATCGATCAACACTTAATATCACGCTCATATTAATATTCAACAAATATTTCGCAAAATGCCTACTTACCCCTCGCATTAGCACATTCTCCATCGGGATGCGCCATACGTTGCATCGCGGTAGGTGCGACTCCCAAGGGCATTGAAACTTTGTGTCCCAATACTGTTGTGCTTATATCCCTTTTAGATACGTCTCGTAAAAATCTAGGACGTATCCTGTAACTGCGAGAAAGTTGGGAGTGATTAAAAATTGAATAATTGTTGCCTTGAATTTAATCGTTATAAGTTGCATGTTATAAATATATATTATTATATATTCTTTTTACATAAAGTGTTATTTGATAAATTGTGCAGTGTATAAATATCTAGATAGATTGTGTATATGTGTACAACTTTGTAAATATTTTCCATCAAAAGTATCTGCAATTATTTCTCTTTTATTTCTCTCTCGAAAAAGTTTTTGTTGTATTTTTAGATTTATACTTTTTGAAAGCCTCCCTATTCCATTTTAAGCTATATTCCTCCCCGGCACCGCCCTTGTAATAATCTCTCACGGAAGGAGGCAAATGTTTCAGAGCATATTTCTCGTAGTCCTCGACACATATATATGCTGCCATTTTATTGAGATAAAATGATATTAATATCGTTGCAATCTGTAACAAAAGTATTATTATGATATTTTGTCTTGGAAAAAAATAAAACGTTTATAAGATTTTATAATTTGTATCAGTATGATAACTTTAAAAATATTTTACATACAGATAAGATTGTCGGTATTTATCGAGAAAGAGAGAAAGAGATTTATATATAGTACACAAGATAACGCGTAATTGTTGCAAATATGCGATAATGTTACATGGCGCATGTGCATTATAAAAGAGAAATCCCAATAAATAAATGTGCGTTAATTATAATTAATCTGAAGATTATGGAAAATATCTTATGTATGAAAAATCACATCAATTTCAATGATTGAGCAAATTCAATCTCTTTTTACTTTTGCTATGTTAATAGTCGGCGCGTATTTTACTTCTGAAAATTTATACATAAAAAATACGGTTTAGCGAATGATCTATTACTTCATACATACATACATACATACAGCACAGAATCATTTAATTACATTATGACTCTTATGAGTCGCAGTTCAATATTACAAAGATGTTACAGGGACATATCGTAATATATTTTGACGTTATTGCAACATTGCAATAACGTTTCAGAAATGTTGTAAAAATATAATAGGCTTACGTATATTAATATATTTCTGAGATACAGTATAGAGATACTTCTAATATGGTAAGTTTAAAATATGCGTTCTCATCTTGTAATCTTTTTATTGACATGATTATTTTAGAAATCTCGCGCAAAAGAAATTATATTTATTGTTATAGTTATATATATTTAAAGTTATATTTATTAATACATAGATTGATATTTTATAATATGATAGTAGGAAATAGTGTCGTGTTGTAGCATAGCATGGTCGAGATATTAATATAGTATCATTTTTCATTGATTACAGTTCTAGTTTTACTGATAATGCAATATACAGCGATATTATTATAGTTTCGATGGAGATACGTATCGAAAGTATTCGAAAATAAGGAACTTTTTTATCGTATCAATCGTATTAGAAAATTCACGAGGATTATAAAAACCGAAGAAACTTACTGTGCGAATGATTCGCTCTTCTCATCTGCTCACCACAATCGTTAACAAACGACTGACTGTTCTTGGGTAAACTTTTGCTATAGATAACGCACACAGTGACAGGTGACAGTTCGGTCGTATGACCTATTGCCTTTACATAATATCAGTTATTTCTCTATCTGCGCCTTCCGAGTAATAAATACATTGATTATCTACCTTCTTTGCAAAAGATAAATTGACGTTTAAGAAATTTTTAATTACGTAGTGGTAATATTTTGACAAATAATTTGGATAAATCGTACATTTTTTATGTCATCGTTCTCAATAGATTATTATATCGAATATAATTAACATAATTCAAATTGAACTGTCAAATATGAACTATCTGTTATTATATGTTTTGTTTACGTGTGTGCTTCAGTATAAACATTTATTGTGTTTGATTATTTCCAATTACAATTTATCATTGAAACTTTTATAATATGAAATAGACTCTTGCAGTCTTATGTTGATACTATATTAATACTTGAACGAAATACTATATTATTTTTTAATACTTATGTATTAAAATAATAATATATTTATGAAATGAGAAAATTTGTAAAGAAAAGAGGAGGAAGGAGCCATCGCATATCTGTTTAAATTTTACTTTATTCATTCTGTTAGAAATAATACACAAAAGATTTCGCAGGCGGCAGAGGTCTCCTTACTGCATAACACGCAGGACACACGTGCGGGTATCGCCCGTTCATAAATGAAAGCTCCCCGCGAAAATCGGCAAACCGTCGCCCGCAACCCCTCGTGTGTATGTGTATGTATTTACGTGTGTGTGTTTATATATATGTCGTGTGTATTTGTGTGCATTTTTCTTTTTATTTGAAATCACACCCAGCGACCACGCGCGCACGCCAGCACGTTGCATCTAATTAAGAATATACACAATCTTAATAATTATACTTATATTTATATGTATGTATATATGTATATATATAATATGTATATCGAAAGAGAGAGAGTCTGCGAGGGACCATAAATAATCGCACGGGTCGGCGGCGTGAGAAGGGTCGCAGGATCGGTTGGCGAGTTGTTTACGAGCTCGATAAGACGAATTTAAATGAAAAATGCCTGCATAAATGCGCCATTTTTTTTTTAACGGATATGTAGCGCGTAGGGTGACCTGAGCGCTTTTATTCTTATATATATATACTTGGGGCTTCCGGTCTCGCATGTTTCAACGAGATAAATCTATCTCTCGTTTTATTCTCGCCTATCGAACAACACCAACTAGAAGGCATCCTCGGTAAGACGTCTAAAGGACCGATAATTCCTGCGATCTTAATATATTGTCGGATCTATTAAATCCTAATATTTTAAGATACATTAAATCCTAGTATTTTTTATACGTCCTTCAGACGTTTTCCGGACGTCTTTTGGATTTTTGTATTGTTCGCGTATCGTCGTCCCGTTATTTTCAAGGGACAAGTCTCGATCGAATATCCGAGAAGTACGCGAAGACAAAATCGCGAACAAGAACATGAACCTCGTAGTTTCTTCATCTGGTACGCGCAACGCTCGTTCCATTACTTTTTTTTTTTTTATACCGCGAAACAGCTGATGATTTATGACGAAATAATTTATATTATATAATATTATTTTTACTGAAGAGAATCCAGCAAAAACACTTGTAAGTGCGCGAACGTATTTGATTATTTCGTAAAAGACGCGCTTGCATAAAAAAAATATATCAAAATTATTAAAATTAAATTGTATATATATGATGTTAATAATTTTAAAACAATATTATATATATATATTTCGCGATAAGAATAAATCAGCTTGATCTAATATCTTCTGATTGACAAAGTATGTGAACAAAAATCTCTTTTTATATGCGCTTGTAACATTCTTTTCAACTCTTTGAAAATCGCTTTGAAATTTTTTTTTTCTTTTTTCTTTGTGTTTCTCTATTACAGCGCATTAACAACGAAATTTCTTTTATCGAAATATACTAGTATAGCCTATTTTTGTCCGCGGCATTTATTGCGACAGGTACAGCCAGGAGAATCAATGTAAATGTCAATGTTGAACCAAAAATGCGCAAAAATTAACAGATTTTTCTTTTTCAGATTTTTTCGATTTCTTTATGATATATTCTTCTCCTCCCTGTTACAAATAACTCGGATGAGAAGTGAGAATAATTTCGGAAACGATCGGAAATTGGTGTTCGCGATGCCTGTCAGCGTACTCTGCTACTTTAATATCCTAAACAACACAGAAGTCCAAAAATCGTCCAAGAGAGACGTTTAAAAAACGTCCAGAAGTGTGGTGGACATTCTCCGATGACTTTACGACATCTGCGTTAATTCGACATTGATCTCATTTTTTAAAATCTTGATAGCAATGTTTTTCTCGTCATTGCACGTGGTGTATCCTTAACACATTTACTGTCCATCTATTTTAGTTCTCTACAGTACCCACTGCATCCACCGCGTTTTATTGATGTTTTCTACTTGAATATCATACCATTCTCTCTATCTTGATTTTTTATATTTGGCTAAAAAAGGTTTTTATTTCAGAGATTGCATAATAATACATACGTGATCATAAACGTATAGGTAACATTATTATCAGCGATACGTCCATGAATCGTATGCGTCCGTACGACATATTCACAGGAACATTTGTGTGTGTCGTGTGGACAGTAAACACGTTAATAATCCTGCATTAGTTCCTTACATTTATGTGCACTCATCTTGTGTCTCGCCTAAGCAGAAAAATGCTCTCTTTATTTGCTAACATCTATCCAATCAAGTTCCAATATTATAATGTCATATCCATAAGAGGAGGTTTCGAATCTATAGCCTCTCTTTTCCTTTGTGTCAAATCTTATCTAGCATTATTAACGTGCCATAGAAATTGTTCGTTAATTAATTATTAATAGCGTCTCTTCAATGAGACTCTTGCATCTTAATAATCGTTCGGTAGACACATTATCATTTCTCTTTTATATTTTGCGTCTAATTCAGGTTTCATGCAGTATTAAATTGAACGGAATGACAATTTCCAAAGTCTCGCTGGGGCAAAGTAAAAGTTAAATAACAGTATATGAAAATTAGACGCTCCGCAAATGTATACCGCGTACAATAGATAATTGTTTTCCTAGTTTTTTATCGCATCGCAATTGATCGGTGCTACGGTGAAAGTAATAACGCAATTTACATTAACTGTACGCTCGATTCTTGTAAATTTTAACTCTTTCGCCATGACGCGATTCAAACTCTAAGAGAGTCCCAGACAATGAATTATTCAGTTTAACTTTTTTATTCGTGTCACACATATGTTTCTACACTTTTACTTTATATTTCTCTCTTTCATTCACTCACTCACTCATTCTCTTTCTTCAAAAACACATTATGCATATTTGGTATCGTGTGAAGAAAGCGTAGAAACTAGAGACAAGCCTGTTATACATATATATGCACGAACGTAAGTTATATAATATCTCACACATTAATAGAACACAATCGTCTCAAAATCAAAGAATTTGTATATTTCAAAATTGGTGATATTAAATGGAAAAACTTTAGGACAAAAAGATATTTTTACATATATTCGAGAATGTCACGTGCGATTGAATCAGCCAGCCCTTTTTAGAGCTCCTCTCATTTTGAGAATATTATGTAATCTTGATCGAAGTTTTTCTTTTCTTGATACAAGTCTTGATTTTACTTTCTTTCCGTCCTCAAAGCTTTCAAAGATGTGCGATTGAAAACGGCTTGAAATAAAACACTTAGTGTTTGTTAAATGCGTCGCAGCGAAAGAGATAAATTAATTAACGTATTTTCAGCATCGACAGAACATCCACACGATCTGCATTCATCACTAAAAGATCTACGAGCGTATAAAAAGATGTTTATGTAAATGTTAAATGTACAGCGTGCGAATAAAAGTGCGAAAACATATGCTTCTCGTATTTAACTTTGGTAAGGATTATGTTTGCGAAACATACAGACTGACCCGAGGATCGTGCGTCAGGATCGATATTACGTCAGAGCTTAAAACCAGTATTACTTCGGTGACTTCAAATCTTTAGCCCCTGAACGCAAACTCGTGACCAACGCTGTCCAACAAATTCTTTTCTATGCGCGTTCCTTAGATGGTAACTAATTAAATAGTTTCGTAAGCGATATTGACGATTCGAACGATCACTGGTGCACAAAGTACTATAGCGCAGTGTTTGATATCGGGATGAAAGTGATGTCCCTTCTTCCTTTCTTTAAAACATTCCACGAAATTTTTTTAATTATAAGGAAAAGGTTTAGGACCAATTCTTCGAATAGATTTTTTAATGTGTAAATATTTTTCGATAATAGAACGAGATTAAAAAAAGAAAGTGCACTCGATGAACCAGCGCTCGCGATCGTGTCCCTTCTACGAGGCGGGATTGCTAAAACAAAGCACAGCGTAAATATACATTGACTGCTCGCAAATAGTCGAGGTAGTTTACAGATGACGAGTCGTTCACACGTCAAAGGCAAATGAGAAAATGCGGCGAACGCATCAAAATCTGCAGAAACGTCCGCGGTCCAGTGCGTTAATGAAAAATTGATGACAATGGCGACAGAGTGTATAATTTTTTTCCACGGTTAAAATCTTATTTTTCTTATCAATCTTATCGGAATGCTCCGAAAACATTTCACAGATTATATCAAACGTGAATGAAATTATTAAATATTCCCTTCTATTTATTCGTAATTTTATTGACTAGAGCGTCTCATTCGCGCTAAATACAATTAAAATTACTTTTAAGAACTAGAACTAAGAAAATGTCGAGGAGACATTTTCTTTTTTTCTACTATGTGTTTACGAGAATTAGCTTTACGAGCATACGATCTCAAGAACAATGATCACTATTCTTGTGATTTCCGCCAGTGCACGGTCTAGTCCACGCATTTGCCTTTGATCTTTTTGACTTATGTCCGACGACCCTCGTACTCGGAAACGAATGTAAAATCGCAATGCGCCGCGCGATGTACATAACGTAATTAATAGTAAATTTCATGATTCGTCAATTTATATCTGCGAGATGGGATCACGCATACCATAAAACTGATGCACAATCTTCCTTTTCGTTTCTCTCCTCCCTTTACTTTATTACGTACACAAGCATATGGTAGGAATCGGTATAATTCCGGTGAGTTGAAATTTCCAATGTAAATATGCTTCATTATTTTCGCAAAAATAAAAGTAGAGGCGATGTTTTACGTCTGTAGCATCCTCGAAATCTGTATTCAGCGAAATTACACTAATCTTAAATGATGTACGTATACGCAGGAAAATGACATTCCGTCGCAATCTCTACTGTCCCTTGCGTATCTCTCTTCCTCCTTCTTTTTTTTTTTAAACTACAACGCCGAGCGCTGTTTCATCTGATGGCAAAAACGACGATTCCGGCAATGATCTTATATTACGTACAATGCGCGCTCGGCTATCGCATATACTTATGTCTCCCTTATTTCTACCACGCATA